TCCTTTCCTTTCCTTTCCTTTCCTTTCCTTTCCTTTCCTTTCCTTTCCTTTCCTTTCCTTTCCTTTCCTTTCCTTTCCTTTCCTTTCCTTTCCTTATGGATTTCTTTTGGGAATGCTGCCTGGCTTTGCTTCCAGTCATGACTGGAGGGCAGTGCTGGTGAAGAAGGTGGTGCTTCCTCTCCATGCACGACTGTGAAGCAAAGCTGAATGGTAGGCAGTGCATTCAAAATATAGAGTGCAATGCAGTCAACTGTGGTCTGTAATAAATAGAGAGTATTTTCTGTATGTGTTTTCTTAGGAGCGGTAATGGAAGTGCTTGGGGTTACTTGTGACAGATTAAAGTGTCCAACACTCAGCTTTGCACTATTTTTCTACCTACGTTTTTATGGCACTACTGTCATTTTCCATTTACTTGGGAAATTGCAGTAGAGAATCTTACTTTAAGGAAGCCTCAAGGACAAAGATATAGAAGCTGTACAGACTCTTTAGCCATAACCAGCTTTGTGATGTACCAGTATTCTTTGCTAGTTAGTTTTCATGTTTCTTTCCAGTTTTGTAGTCCTACCTGTGTCCTATCTGTAGTTCTATCTGTGATTTCTTTCTTTATCCTCTTCCTCTTCCCCTCGTCCTGTTTTTACTGAAATGCCTAATGGAATGAAGGTGTCTCATGTTTTTTCATTAATACTGCTGTTACATGCAAGTGTCAAGTTCTTCCTTCCCTGAAAGAAATTTAACTAAATTTATTTTGCCCAGAATACAGTAATAGACAGGTCACTGTTTCTATTGTGATACAAATGCTGCCCTTTACAGTTCTTTAAATGTTCTCTAACTTTAATGAAAAGCTCTTCAGAGAGTGGTATTTTTTTCAGTGGTTTGAAGGGCAATATTTTATGAAAGCATTGCATTGCACATGTGAAATCTGGGAAAGTAAAGCCAGTCAGTTGATTTTTATTAAAATCAACTCAGTGTGAGTGCAAGTAACTTCCTTTAGAGGCTATTGCCAACAGAGGAGGAGGATGGTGTGCCTTTGCCGTGTGCCTGTTCACTGATGGTGCCGGTTTGGTGTGTCTGGGAGTACCAAAAGCAATAAAAACTCCATATTCAGGTGTTAGCACAGCCTGACAGCCAGCGTGCCAGCCCAGGCAGCTCCGGAGCCTGTGTGCTGACTCCTGGCAGTGGCCTGGGCTTTCGCTGGGGATCTTTACCCGAAAAAAGGATTCAGATACCACGACTACAGGCAAACCTTTCTTTGGCTGTATAAACATAACAAATTGACCAAGAAAGCAGCTCTAAATGTCATTTAGCGTTGAAACTAGAAATCTTATTAGGATGATTTCCTTTAAAAGGCTGCACCCACTGCACCATGTATCCTGTTTTTGCAGGACAGGAGGGTTCCTGAGCACATGCCCAAGGGTTGGCAGTGACCTGGCCACTTCTGAGGGCTGCCCTCGCCTTGCCAAGGGCTGCTGAATGTCCATGGTGTCCAGGGTCCACTCCTCTCGTTTTCCAGACGGCAGCTGTTCTGCTCCAACTGGTCACACTGAGTTTCCAAAGAACTGTTTTAGCAAGGACCTTTTTATGTTTTTTTTTAATTAGTTATTACTTTATCAGACAAAAGATCATTATAAAGAACATTTTTCTGGTATGATAAATAATACTAACAGAAACGTGTGGAGAAAAAACAAAAGACTGTGACTCTGTCCACTTGCAAATCTTCTCACTCAACATAGGGGTAAACCCACCCTCTCAGCATCCTCCTGCATGATGTGTGGGCCCTGTTAACCTGAAGCTTCGTCCTCGCCGCTCTCCCATATGTTTTCTTTTCCCTGTGGCATGTGGCTGGTGTGCAAATAACATGGGCAGAGTTGGTGTCTGCCCTAGGGTTGGTACCTCCAGGTGCTGGGGGACACGGCATGCTGCCACCTGGACTCCATCACCCTTTTCCCATGTGGCCTTAAACCCTTGGGACCGGCCATGGTCCCTAAAACAGGGGGGTTTTACTTTGATCACGTCTACAAACACAGTTCTTGGAAAACGAAGGTGACAACTGATCTGTTCCCTCTGAACGGGGGACATTCAGCCCTCCTCTAAGTTAGGCTCTAGATGTCAAAAGATCACATCCTAAAATTAGAGTCCTGTGTAGGAAAATTGGATCTGCAGCTGTCCACGTGTCTTGGTGGCCTGATACCACTCTGCAGCTTCCCCACAGCCACTGGGGCTGTGTTGAATGCAGCTGGGGATCTTACTCCTTGCTCCTCAGGTGCTCGTTTTAAAATGAAGGTGATAATACCTGTTTGCAAGCCACCTGTTAATGAAAAATAAACAATTCTCACTGTACTATAACATAAATAGTTCCCGGGGGGTATTTTTTCTAATGTAAGAGAAGATCAATGCTGGAGCTCAGCAACTGGTTATTAATGGTGCATGGGGTTTTTTACCTCATCTAAGGGCAAGAGGGGTAAGAGAATTTGATGTTAATACTGTGCTTTAATTATGTTAACTGCTATGTCGTAACATAGCAGAAGATAAAGAAGTCCAAAGATAAGTCTAAATGTACATAGTTTTTACTTGAATAAATAAGGAGAAACTGGATATTATTTTCTGATTTGCTTGAAGATATGCAAATGGACAAAAATCAACTCCATTTCCACAAATGAACAGTGAAATCACCTTTTGGCTACTCTTTTATCTGATGCTACAGTAAGCGGTTGTGTTGTAGTGCCTGATACCTTAAAAATTTGCAATCTGCCTTGCACTATAATCTCATCCTCCCAGGCTCCCTTACTTTTCTCAGACAAATTCCTTTTTAAGATACTAATTTTTCTGCCCCTTCTCAGGCCAAAGATTTTAAGGGCGAGATTATTATATTTCTTTATGTGAGGATGAAAACCTTGCAACAGTTTTATCATAGGTTTTAATAAGAAATTTGATGCTAAGATAATGACCAAAGATAGAAATGTCAAGCTTGTTCT